GTATGTCGACTTTATTTTCCATACAAAATGTCATAGTATAGTATGTCGATTTTTTTCCCCACAAAATAAGTCATAGTATAGTAGGTTGATTTTTTTTCCACAAAAACACTCATAGTATAATGTGTCGACTTTATTTTCTGTACAAAATGTCATAGTATAGTATGTCAATTTTTTCTCCCACAAAAAAGTCATAGTACAGTATGTCCATGTTTTCTATGTATGTCAAGTTTTTTGCACAAAAATTTCATAGTATAGTATGTTGATTTTTTCATGAAAAAAGTCATAGTATAGTATGTCGAATTTTCTCATGAAAAAAATCATAGTGTATGTTGACTTTTTTCTCCACAAAAAAAGTCATAGTATAGTATGTTGATGTTTTCTATGAAAAAAGTCATAGTATAGTATGTGAAGTTTTTTGCACAAAAGGTCATGGTATAGTATGTCGATTTTATCCTTGAAAAAAGTCATAGTATAGTATGTTGATTTTTATTCCACAAAAAAAGTCATAGTATAGTATGTTGATGTTTTTTCACAAAAACATAATAGAATATGTTGATTTTATCCTTGAACAAAAGTTATAGTATAGTTTGTCACTGTTTTCCAACAACAAACATCATAGTATTGTCACAGTTCTGCCATTTTGCTCACCTCATGCAGTACTTTTCCATTCACCCCACCTCTGCTCCACTCTGACTGCCAGCCACACCCATCTCATCAAGGCAACTCCACTCACCTGCTTTCAATCAGACTGGCCCAGTATAAAGACTCCTGCTCTCCACACACTCACTGCCAGATTGTTCTTCGCTATTTTGCATGCAAGACTCTCCAGCACTACTTCCTGGACTGATTTCCTGTTGCTTACCTTGCCTGAATCCCGGTAATTTCCTCAGCTGTTTGTCCCCAACCACAAGTTCTGCTTTTCCCCTTCTGGTTTCAGTCTGCCTGTTCCCGTGGCTGTGTGGAGATTTCCTGCCTTGTTGCAACAGTGCGAGTTTCTTTGATCCAACCTGTGACTCCCTGTTGAACAGAGACTCTTGTTGTTTTGGTTTCAGTGTGTATGCTGTGTGGATTTTCAACTGCTGGACATTTCCTCTGCATTTTTCTGTGCCTGCTGCAAACTACATTGAAGTCATTACCAGCTGTACCTGTGTGTCTGCTGTGCTGCAATTGGGTCGTAAACACATTCGTTTCAAGTATAGCATGTCTTTTTTTTTGTGTGTGTGTTCCCACAAAAAAAGTCATAGTATAGTATGTAAACTTTTTTTGTCACAAAAACAGTCATACATACTAAGTATGTCGGGGTTTTTTTTTTTCCCCACCAAAAAGTCATAGTATAGTATGTTGATTTTTTTTTTTTCCACAAAAAGTCATAGTATAGT